ATTTATTTGAATGCCTTATTGTGGAGAAAAGAATAAAGATGGACGGGGAAGGGACTCAGTGTTACATTACTACACATGATTGCGGCTCAGAGAGCTATTAAACATTCATTCAGACAATCTGGATAAAAACTGACAACAAGATTGCCACCGACATCGTTCGGCATCCATATCTTGCAGCGTCTCCAACCAGATACAGTGGACATCACGCGGTCCCCATCCTGGAACGTGACTAGAACCGAACGTTTCGTGATTTCTTTCATACTCTCTGCCAGGTCAAGGGTTGGCCACCTCTGTGCTTCCGTCATTCATTCTTGGGCATGGGAAACAGTGCTGTCTTTGGCAAACGATGGTTCAGCATACGCAATACATGTCCCAACCAACGCAGATTCTGGTGCTGCACACACTTTGATGGAAGTACCCGTTGCACAACCGAAGACCCACTTTCTAACTTCATCGTTACGGACACGTCAACAACATTACACACAAGCTATGGTTCTGAGACAACGATTGCGAACACCTGAACACGCCTCATTTCCGCTGCTCGAACGGGCCAAGTCNAGGACAAAAAATACATCAAAATATAAGGTATCAAGACAAAGTAGACTACAAAGCAACACAGGTCACAAATGGGACTAAGAATTCAAGTGAAAGCCCTCAATATCCAGCAACGTCAAGAGATAGCACGTGTTTTTACTAATTAGATGAGAGCTCTCTCTGACAGAACGTTTGCAATTTGAACAGACCAACAACCACTTGATCAATAACAAATAAACGCAGCAAAGCCACAAGCGTTTCAAGATATTTTCATCGCACACCTCAGTTTTTCACTGTACTCCTTAGCCTCAACTGTGCTCACTGATCTAACTGACAGGAGTATCCCCACCTCATATTGGGTCTAATAGACGTTTGTGCTGGCTGGCAGAAGCTATTCTCAAACCATATCGCAGGCTTCCGAGGGTGTTTTCATCCCCTGGTGAAGAACTGCTGGCACCGAAATCAGTGAGTAAGCAACCGAGTGGTACGATGTGTCGGAGTAATATCCCCATCCAGCTGGACAGAACACGCGCCACTTCAATGATAAGTCAAGCGTTAGTGAAAAGAGGAAAGCCTCTGGTGCGAAATTATTTATTAGCCAGCACGAACTAAACGGTTACAAGCTCTTAGACGCGGAAGTAAACATCTCAACAGCATACAGGTTTTGAAAAAAGAACATTCTCAAGCGTTCTGAACGCTCATAGAATATTAAAAACAGGAACTAACAGCGCAACATAGTTTCTGTAGTAACCTCCGTCTTACATCAGATGAGGCGGCGGAGTTTGTACACCAGACCACAGAGTACTCTTATCTTTCATCAGTAGTATACACCATTCCACTGGTAGTTTATCAAGCATCCATTGATCGGCTCGCCTAGCATCGCATTTGGCTTACAAAGATTTTGTCACAAATCGAGGATACATGGTAAGTACACAGCTGAGCCGGTACTCCCTCATTATATGATTGCGTTCATATATTTTAAAGGGTATGTTACGAAGCAACTGGCAATGATGCGATGCGATTGGCTAGCTGGTGGTTCCATTTGTGTTACGTTTTGATCCTATTAGTTGAACGCCTTTTCTTCCTGGGTTTTGAACTGTGGTCCGATTAGTTCCTTCCTGTTCTTTGCTTTCACGAATCTGGTTGGCCCTTCTTCACTTTGCATCACTTTCTGAAATTCTTGAGCTTGATTGATCATTTGCATTTCCCCGTTTGGTTTAGTTTCTTCTCCCTGTGCTGAGCGACCTTAATGTAATTTTACCGGTTAGGTTGATGCCTCCCTTTGCTGAGCCGTTCTTGATCCNCGCAGCAAAGCCACAAGCGTTTCAAGATAGTTTCATTGCACACCTCAGTTTTTCACTGTACTCAGCCTCAATTGTGCCCACTGATCTAACTGACCGGAGTATCCCCACCTCATACTGGGTCTAATCGACGCTTGTGCTGGCTGGCAGAAGCTATTGTCAAACCGTACCACAGGCTTCCGAGGGTGTTTTCATCCCCTGGTGAAGAACTGCTGGCACCGAAATCAGTGAGTAAGCAACCGAGTGGTACGATGTGTCGGAGTAATATCCCCATCCAGCTGGACAGAACACGCGCCACTTCAATGATAAGTCAAGCGTTAGTGAAAAGAGGAAAGCCTCTGGTGCGAATTTATTTATTAGCCAGCACGAACTAAACGGTTACAAGCTCTTAGACGCGGAAGTAAACATCTCAACAGCATAGAGGTTTTGAAAAAAGAACATTATCAAGCGTTCTGAACGCTCATAGAATATTAAAAACAGGAACTAACAGCGCAACATAGTTTCTGTAGTAACCTCCGTCTTACATCAGATGAGGCGGCGGAGTTTGGACAACAGACCACAGAGTACTCTTATCTTTCATCAGTAGTATACACCATTCCACTGGTAGTTTATCAAGCATCCATTGATCGGCTCGCCTAGCATCGCATTTGACTTACAAAGACTTAGTCACAAATCGAGGATACATGGTAAGTAGACAGCTGAGCCGGTACTCCCTCATTATATGATTGCGTTCATATATTTTAAAGGGTATGTTACGAAGCAACTGGCAATGATGCGATTTGTGACT